GTAGCTCTAATGCAATATATTCTCTTACGGATGCGAGCGAATGCGTGCATAATGAAAAATTTTATTTAATAAATAAATTATATATTATATAATAACGTATATTAAAAATTATTTAAATTTAAAGATTTTTTTTTCTTTTTAATTTATTTCTAACCGATAGTATTTGTATTAAATTAATAGTGCATGCATTCAATTATTTTTCCTATGATTCATTTAATCCTATTTGATGTTATCAATAAAATATAACTTTTTTAATGTTTCTTCAATGCAGCACGGTAGTACAGAATTATGTAATAAAAATACTGATTGCAAAAATATACATGCATGGGCCAGTGGTTTTGAAAAATTACTAGAAGACCCAAAAGGTTTACAAACATTTGCAGTAAGATTGACATATTTTACAATATTTACTCATATTTACTAAATAAAAACATATTACAATTTTTTAAATAATTTTATTTTTGTAATTTAGGAATTTTTGAAAAAGGAATTCAGTCATGAAAATATCTATTTTTGGGCTGCTTGTGAAAGGTACAAAGATACTAAAGATGTTTCTACAAGACGTAAGTTGGCTAATCAAATTTACCAACGTCACTTATCTACTACAGCAGCAGAACCCGTAAATGTTGATAGTCATGCAACTGGACAAATAACACAAGAACTTCTTAGTGAATCGCCTGCTGATCTTTTTTTACAGGTGTACATGATGTTTTCTTCAATTTTGTAATTAGTCTTATTATTATTAACATTTATTGCTTTGTATTAATAGAAATCATTTGTATTTTATTTACAGGCTCAAAAACAGGTTTTTAATTTGATGAAATTTGATAGTTACCCAAGATTTTTAAGATCTGATTTATATCGTCATTGTGTAGAAACAGGAAATTCTATAATTGGAGTAGAAGATTGTGATTTAAATCTTACCAGTTCTCCTAGTGTAAAATTAAAAAAGAGTCATTCAGATGCAGAAGATCGATGTAGAAAATCTATTCTTCCTTGGAATAGAAAAAACAGGTATTAAAAATGATATTTGATAAATATTAACAGAAAAGAATGTTATCAATTTATTTATAATATACATTCTTAGATCTAAATCAAAAGATCGTGGTGAATCTGAATATAATAAAGGTCCTAATAGAAATGAAACTATATATAAAAGTTTCACAACTATGAAAAGAGAAGCAGAAGGTAACAATAATGACGACAGTATTTCTATATCTAGCAGTAGATCTTCACTTGCATCATGGGATTTGGCATTAAGACAATCATTTCATAAACATGTAAGTATTCTTTTTTTCCATATCATATTGTGATTAAATATAGATATAAAAATGTATCATTTGGTAAAACAATGATATTAAAGGGAAGTATATATAAAAGTAATTATAGTATGTGTTAGTTTTATTTGTATTGCAAGTGTGTAGTAGATCTTAGTATTGCAACTAAGTATGCAAGGATGTTTGTTAAAAAAAAATATCAGTGTTATTAAACGCATATTTAATTTTAAAACTACAAAGTTGTTGTATGTATAACTTGTAGTCTTTATCGTCCTACGAAGGACAGTCAAATGAAACTAAAGAAGTTCGTGCCAAATGTACCGGGTTATGTCGGGTAATATTACCCGATGGATCGACTACGGTTGTGCCAACTAGCCAAATGGAGAGTATTAAAGATGTGGTTACACGCCTCCTTGATAAAAGAGCTCTCAGATATTCTAACTATGATGTTCTAATCCTAGCTACAGATGAGGTTTGTGATCTCTCGCATTTATTTAACGCATCTTTTAAGATTACTTAAAACTAACAAATAAAATAATTTAATTGATATGAAATATACTATTTACTGCTTCTTTCTTGTGCACAGTATAATTGCTGCAAGGATTGTGGAAGATTATTATTATGTAAGAATTTTTATGCATGTATTTTTTGGTATAGCTTTTGTAAATGGGTATATTCACATTAAATCTATTAAGATATAAAATATGCGTATTTTATGTATGTCTGCATGAAATTAAAATTTATAATTTAATATTTAAATTTAATATTTATAATTTAATATTAAAATATTTAAATTTATTATTTGTTTATATATATATTAATATCTAAAATTAGAATTTTTTCATGCTTTTAGATTATAGATGCAAAATATCCTTCATCAGTACTGGCTGGTCAAGAAGTAGAAGTTGTACCAACCAAAATATTGAAAGTAGATTTACCTTCTCGGCGAGTGATAACTGTGATCGCACATAAAGGCAGAACTCTTAAAGATGTATTGAGGCCGCTTCTAAATAAATATGGTTTTAATTTAGATATGGTTACTGTATGGAGTGAAAATCACCGTATTTGTATGGATATACAAGCTATTGATGCTCCCGTAAGACTGATTTTAACAAATATAAAAGATCAAGGTAAAATATCGAAATATTGATAAAAAAACTATTGAGCATAATTGTTGAAATAATTAATATTATTGCAGATTCCCAAAAAGAGCTAAACACAATTAAGTATACACATGATGCGTCAAATTCACAATCCACTTTAGATGAAATTACAAATAGAGTATTTGAAGAACTTTTAGTGGGCAAAGGTTCGAGTAAATATCATTATAACGATGGCTCGTGTAAGGTAATAAAATTAATATATTTATTTAAATTTAATAATGCATGTTTAAATTCCAATGAGGAATTTTGATGAGTTTTAGAATTTATATTGCAATTTTTTAAAAATAGAAAAAGAAATTTGATATAATTTAAAATTTAGGATTTGTTAACAAGAAAAAAAAAAAATAAATCTAAAAAAATCAATTGAAGAAGATATTGTGTCTAATTTGAGATATTAGGTAACAGAAAAGAAATAATGAAATTTAACAGTATTATAATTTGAATGAAATGATTATATTGGAATTTAAGTTTGTATTATATTATATTATATTGTATATATTTACTATATTTAAATAAGAAAATTCATTTGAGAGTTGATTTAAAATTAAAAATTATCTTTTTACAATATTTACGAATTATTTTATTTTTTGTAATATAGTCTGATGATCAACGATCTGAGGGTTCATCTATTTTGCCGAGCAAATTTTTCCTTCGAGATTCTACAATGCATGGAAAGAAAAAGGTATGATAAAAGTCTGTTATTTTACAAATATTGAGTTTATGTATTGCTTTTAAGAAAAATGATTTTTATATATTGTATATGTTATATATTTATGTTAAAGGGAGGAAAGTCTAAATGTAATATAAACGAAAAAAGTAACACGAACGATTATGTTCCTGAAGAAACTACTAAGTCTCATCCTCCTTTAATAGCGAAATGGCGGAACGGAGTGAAACTTCAATTACCAGGAAAATTTGATGGCGAAGGTAAATTATATTTAAATACTTGAATCGTATTGTTCATAATAAAATAACATAAGAATATAATAAATATGAATTTATATATAAATACAAAATGTTGTCATTCTTATTTATGCAATATGAAATTAATTATGATTGTATTTATAGATTTATATGAAGGTTTAAAACGAGCACAAAGATCTAGATTGGAAGATCAAAGAGGCACGGAAATTAATTTTGAATTGCCAGATTTTTTAAAGGTAAACAAAATGAAATTTACATGTGCTAAGGTATAGTAATCCATATCTTCTTAATTATACCAAACTTATTTGATGAAACATATTGCCAGTTATCGAAGTAACGTTTTTAAACATATTTCATTTTTAAAATTTTTATTATGCGATACGTTTCGACCCTTAAAGCTATGAAATTACTGATCAGAACAAGGAAAATGGTAAGCCGGCGGATCGCAACAAAGTTCGAAGACCTAGGATAGTATCTACCAATTGTGAAGCAAACGCCAAGTTTTATAGTTCGATTCATGAACGGCAAAACCATAGCGGGCATGATCAAAATACAACGATGACAACATCAATAACAACAACAACAATAACAACAACAACAACAAAAACAACAATGAAGATGACGGCAACAACTACGTTGGCTTCATCAAAGAATGAAAATATCGATGAACGATTCCATGTATTGGCTACTGGAAAAGAGTTGCAGAGTAAGTCTCCAGATAGTTCGTTCATATTAGATACAACTTTAACGGATGGAGATCGAACTGTTGTAGAGAACGGATCTTGTTCCCAAACTACTGGTTTCGGTTGTTTCGATACTCAAGTCAACTCCGTAGGAGTAAACAAATCATCGAAACCTCCTCCGCTTCCGCCAAAACCAAAAAATCTTATAACATGTGCAACGAAAACTGGATATATTGTATCTCCGAAATCTTTACCAAAGTCTAATTATGCTGTTTCTTTAAGTCCTACCGAATTTACTCGAAAAAATATTTTATAATATATTTGATTAAGAAACCAATATTTATGTATTGGTTCTTACATATTTTTGCTTTTAGAGTAAAACGTGAAATGTTCCACAAAAAAAGCAAAAGAGTGTTATCTAATCAATTTTATTATATATATTATGTATTCATATTCGTAAAATGAAGTTGTACGAAAACGAAAGAGTTGGTAGTATTATTTAGTGCCTTTTAGAATTTCGATAATAATTTTGTATCATAATACTTTTGATTAATGTAAAATATCTGATTCTTGAAGATGTTTATTTTAGTGGTATTCTTAATGTGTTTTTAAATGTAGTCGATACATATTTATGGTGTTTTTACAATACAACTGTTACTTTCCTAGTTATATAGGATATATATTTTATATATTGTAATTTATAGCGAATGTTGTTGTACGTAAATGATGAAAAGAATATTTGAGATTTTATATGTATTAAATAAATAATATAAACTTTGTTTTATAGAAATGTTTATTTTGTTTTTACATTAATATAATTTTTAGTTTGATTTGAACAATGAAAAAATCTTTACATTCTTTTCATATATAATGCGAACAAAATCCAGCATATACGTAATGTATGTATAACGATTTCCTTTTTTCTTTATATTTTGATGTCTTAATTTATTTCCTTCAATTTTTGTAGGTGGCGTTATAGGCAATGATAATATATTTTACGCGGGCCCGTCATCATTGTGAGTTATCTAGCTCGATAGAGTCAATGAATCGCGTTTTCACACTGAGTTTTGTGAAATCCTTATTCTGACATTAGTTTTTGATATGTTGTTCCTGTACATTAAAAGAAAATCATTCCAATTAATACAAAGTAAAAGAGAATTTATTTTTTCGACATTTATAATTGGAAAATTTTGCGTAGAAAATTTTATAAATACATTGATCAAGAAAAGGTAAATATAATTAAAAAATTTGTAATATTAATAATAATTAATTTATTTTTTGTTAAAATAATAACATTAAAACAAATCACTGCATATAAAGTTTCTTTTTTTCAAAAAAAAAAGTAAGAATTTTCCCTCCAAATTATTTTTCATTAAAGAAAAATTTTTCTGAAAGAAATAATATTATTATTACATAACCCCATATATTATCTAATAAATATACAATGTGAATAAATGTTGATTCTTATATTGTTCATTCTATTCGTGTTGTTATTATTTAAAGACAACTTTCTGTTCAAAGGTTACGAAAATAAATACATATATATGTATAATGTATAACATACATGTTATAATGTACAACATACATATAACATACATAACATATAATGTATTTATATATGTATGCTTTATATTTTTCATTTAGAAGTTATTTTACAATTATTAAATTAAAACTTTTTTTGTTCATTTTTTCTTTTTGATGATTTGATTTTTCAAAGTTTATATTATATATATATATATATATATATAGATCGTTTAAATAAATTTAACTTGCGTTAATGTTATTATTTTCTGCTATTATTATTAAAAGAATATATCAAAGAAATAGATCAAGATAAGTAAGTTTTAGTTTTTTCAAATGTTTTATATTGTTAAAATGTTTTTTAAAATTTTCTTAAATAATTGTGCTTATATATATAAATATCGATAGAAATAGAGAGAAAAATAAAATAAATTGTTCAAATTGATTTCCAATATTTTTTTAAAAAAGATTTAATATTTAGATTTAATGATCGAGAAAAATTAATTAATTGATTTTAATAATAATTGCAGGTTAAAAATAAACAGGATTTACAAGATTTTATACGTAAACTTATAAGATGGTGTTTCTTCGAAAAAAGTTCGATAGTGTAGATATTTAAATTTAAAAAAGTAAGACATTTATTATGTGATCTTCTTTTTTATTATCTTTCAAATTTTTTAAAATTTTCATCAAATTTTTATATTTCTCATTATCATTTGCAGATAAATTTCTATTTATTATTTAAAAAAAAAAACGAAGTGGAAACGCGGAAAATACAATGTCTGGTTGTAAACAAATGTCTATATTATCATGTATTACCGAATTAGATGAATCTTCACCAAGAAAATGTACAGATCAAGCAGCAACTATACTCGTATCACCGATTTCTGGAATTGTTCATGAATTAATGAATACAACACTCTCACAACATAATTGTTCGAAGCGCAAGAACAATGTAACCAATGAAAATCTAAGTAAGTAGAATCATTTCTTTTTAAATATGATATTTTTTAATTATCAGATTTTTTCAATGCGTATTATAATATTTATATTTATACAATAACTTATTCTTGATTCATAAATTACCCATAGTTGATTGATTACTGAAGATCAAAAAATGTCTAAGTTGTATATGGAGGGGGAAGGAATTAAAAAGAGGTGATAAGAGTGATATAGAAGGAAGAGGAGAAAGAATGGAAGAAATAAATTAGTCAGTTTGAAACAAGTATTATACGTATATCTTGCACTGAACAAATAGAAAACCAATGTAGAATGGATTGTTCTTTCAAATAATTCCAAGCATATCTTTTTCTTAATCTTTATAAAACGAAATGGCAATGATTGAGCATCTAATAGAATGATTAAGAGAATTAATAGTGAACTTTTAAATCAAAATGAGATGTTTAACACATTTAATCGGAAGAAATGTCGTTTGAATTAAAAAGAAAAAATTTGATTAAGAATTCGGTATATAACCGTTAAAGGTTACTGATCAGAACTTGAAGGTTCAGATTGCAAGACCTGCCTTACCGGCTCCACGAGAAATGCTAATATACCGAAACCCTCGAGAATACAAAAACCTCGGATACCCCTCACACCTTATAGACCCCTGAAACCCTTTTACCATTACTTGGTCATTTTCTCTCTTCTTTCCCCTCCTTTTTTGATTTCTTTCATTTCATGCGTTCATGAAGTATCTCTCTCCGCCTTTTTTTTCCTCATGTCGCTTTTCTTCCTTTTTTTAATCGGTTTTGTACTCGTCAAAATATTCTAATGTGACGTTCACTTTTATTACCTGTTTGGCAACGATTAGAATATTAGAACAATACATTGACGTTTTTTATTAGTTCGAAAATAGACGTTAAAAACACGTTTATCGCGCACGATACGAAAGAGCGCCGTTAAACATATTTAGTTAGCAGCTGTGTTATTTCATGAACAGTGACCTTTGTTTAATCGCCATTTGTGTTTTATCATATATTATACTGCAATACATATATATATATATATGTACTTAATTATACATTTTTAAGATATTCTTTTACGTGTCTTATTCTTATTACGTGTGTTATATTATTATTGAAAAAAAAAATTAAAAAAGACAATACAATATTGAAATATATTTTTTTAATTTTTCTTAAATTTTTGAGGAATAGAGAATTCGTTTATTAATTACGCGATTCTTTTGACACGATTGCTAAAATAGAATATAAAATTAATAAGTAAAATTATTCAAATTAAAAAATTATTGCTTATATAATTAATTATGAATTAAACCAATTCAAAAATAGAGAAAAGATAAAAAAAAGTAATTTTCCAATGATTTTGTCAATCAATTTGCAAAAGTATATAGTTCTACGACATACTCTCGATTCTTTGACGATGTTGGTCATGGTAGAATGATTTGCACCTGTGTAGGAAACGAGCGATACATATTTTTCTCGTTATACGATTTGCGCCATGTGCATTGCAAATTCTTATCTATTCTTTTTCATTTAATTATAATTATAATTTTCTCTACTGTTTGCAAAAATTATAGATATTCAATTCACAAATGAATTAGCAAGTGTAATAGAACTAATTCTTCGTATCATTTTTCTCATCCATTTTTCTCTGATTGATGCTAATTAAACATCGAATTTGATAAAGCTGTGTTATCAAATGGAAATGGGGAAAATTTTTCAGCAGATTTTTTCGATCTGTAATAAAATAAAATAAGCTAAATTAAATCGACCACGGCATGGAAAATGCCCTTGAAAAAAAAAAAAAAA